CTCACATATCATGTTAGTGAAAATCAATTCAACTCATAACAGTATGAGTGTGGCTAGAACATAGGATGTATAAAATGGCGGAATGGGGTCAAAAGGAAATGGTTAAGTGCATAAAAATGGGACCAGAAAGATAGACATAGGTTACTTAAAGATAATGACTTTCTAAATAGAAACACAAACTCTTATTTCAAATATAAAATCTAAGTAGATATGTCTTAAGGACAGAGATCAATACTCTCTATCTATAATCGGGTAACTTTGATCTGTGTCATTACCAATCATAGACTTAAGGAATGTGGCACATACTATTTGATTCTTCAATCATTAGTTTCTCAATGATTGCTTTTTTTTAAATTGCTTTTTCTCTAAAGTAATATTATAAAAATAAATAAAAATCCCAGAAATAAATACATTAGTAATGTTAATGAAATGTTTCTGAACTATTAAAATAAAGCAGACATGAATTCTAGAGTTCAAAAGATTTTTTTTTGTTTGTTTTTCATTTATTTAAAAGTAATTTTATGTTTACCATTTAGCCACTTGCTTAGCAGCTTACTCGTGTAGTACTTTACTCTCTCACCTCCTACATTTTCTATTTGTCATTGCCTCCTCACTTTACTTCTTACCTTGTCCAAATTAAGATGCCTAATTTCCATGACTCTGCAAAGCACAGTCTGGAGTACTTTACTCTCTCACCTCCTACATTTTCTGTCATTGCCTCCTCACTTTACTTCTTACCTTGTCCAAATTAAGATGCCTAATTTCCATGACTCTGTGAAGCACAGTCCGCATCCTCTGCTGAAATCCTGTGCCTTGAAATCTTCAGGCCATGAGTAAATCCAGTCATCTACCTTCTTCACTCCCACATCCAGATTGCTGAGTGCTGCGGGCTTCCTCTTGCACCAGGTCAGCAGTTTGGTGCCCCTCCATGTATGGATTCAGATCCAACTGACTCCTAAACACTGTGTACCAAGTCATGAACAGGAGACTGCTCTATTTTCTCCTCTCTACCTTGGGGAAACTTCAGAATTTCATGGTCTCCTCAAGATCTCCTCCCCACTCCTGCCTCTTGAACATATTTAAAACTTAAAAGAGAAATGTGAGTTTTTTCTTTTTTTTCAGTTTTCCTTATCTGGTCTTCCCTGTTCATACATATTCAATTAAAATTCATGAACTCACAAGTGATAAACATGCATTCTTACCTCTAGTTTTATAGAAAATGCTCACCTTTCTTCAGTTGGTCTAATCCTTAGGTTGGTGACATTGCTCTTACCTTATTTTTTTTTTCTCTTGGACTTTGTCCTATCAGATAGTCTTGGCATTTTCTCTCTTCATTTCAACTGCCTCCTTCTGAAAAAAGAAATAAATGGGTAATATCTCCTCCCTCGTCCATTGCTTTATTGAAGGAATACATTCAGCTGTCTCCTTTTTTGTTATCAGAGAAACATAGAAGTCATCCCTCTTTTCATTTTGTTACCCCCTCTGGCTGATTCTTAAACTTACTAACTTAGGTTTGTGAATTTCAGGTTTGCATTCTAGGCCTGCTGTTCTGCTGATTCATACCTGCAAATTCCATGTCACTTCTTTTTTTTCAATTCCTGTCTCACTTGGACACTAACTGGGAGTCTTCTCTCTCTCTCAAAAATTTCTCATCACATCTGATAATGCTAGCTACCAGATCTTTCCCACCTCTGAGACTGTCCTGTTTCCACCTCATTTACGGCCACTCTTTCTGACTGCTCATAGAGTTGCATCTTCGGCTAGCTTCCCACTGTGGACACACCTATAAGCCAAATAAAATTGATATTTGCATGACACCCATATCAACAAGTTCAAACAAGACACTTGCTGATTCCCTGAGATGTAATTCCAGACAGATGTTTCCAAAATCTTACTCAATAGCTTCCTGGACATACACCTCATAGACCCCAACACGACATTCCTCAAGTTGAAATTTACCACCTATTCTTCCTGTTCACCTTCTTGGTGAACAATATCACCAATAGACAAGCCAGAAATCTGAGTGTCTTCTGACACTGCTACATGCCTCTCAACTCCTGTGTTTGAATAGCTGCCAAATCCTTAAATCTGTGGCATGTACTTTACTGCTCCATCCCCATGGCTACTGCTGTGATTAAATATGCATCACTTTTCTCTGGGCTATTGAAATAGGTTCCAAACATATTTTTATATTTTCTATTTCTTACATGCTTAAAAAGATGTGAATTGTTTCCTTATGCCCAATCTTCTTGAAATGGTTCCCTTCTCTGGTTTAGCCACTGTCTAAATTATTTTTCTGTGTTGGCTGTGAGGCACAGACATACTGAAGACTCGCTGATGAAGATCAATTGTTTCTTTAGAAAAATGCACACTCTCCCGTGTACACAGGCTCACACGTTTTTATGGCAGCATCAGGGGATTCGTGGATTCCCTGAGGTCTGTCCAGAACCCCCATGGTCCAACCTGATTTCTAGCCACACTACTCTCCAACACCTTCTATGATACCAAATATGTGTAGCTCCCCCTAAACGCCATGTTGTTTCTTGCTTCATAATACTGTCTCACACAACCCCTGCTTGCCACATTCACTTAGTAAGAGAGTAAAATCCACTCATCTTCTGTCTATTAGCCTTAGATTGCCTTCAGGCTTGTACTCATTCTTTCCTCAAACATATAGGTCTGGGTTGTTTCTCTCCATTATAGCCCTATTACATATGACTTCTACAAGACAATAAAATAACCTAGGGTAGACAGTGTAATTTAAAGCTAAAGAAACTAAGAGTCTGAATGACATAGGTCTGAATGCATGAGAGATATGGATGTATTTGGCAAAGGGTATAATGTCCCTAATCCAGCTACCAAGTTACTCTGAGTTTGAGGAAGGAGAAGTTTCTTCAGTCGAGTTAGTACCATATAAAGATTTATAATGGAAGTGACCTTTAAATTGGTTTTATAAGCTATGTAGGATTTGGAAATGGAAATGCAAAGTTTGGAGGTAGAGAAGAAAAGTGAGAATTCTCCTACCTGAACAGCTTTGTAAAAATTAGAACCTTGACTGTGTCGTTAGACTCTTTTTCTAGAACTGTATTAATCATAAGAAATTATCCCTCATGTGATTCATGTGAATTATTTCCTCACCTATATTTTTTGTTAGAAATATGATATTTTGGAATTCATAGTGAGCTTATTTTTCCATTGGTCAGTTCCTCATTATATTACCAATATGTAAGATTTAGCACACTGTTTCATAAAATGAGTTCAGAAAATCTAATCCTATGGAAAACTCATCAAGAAAGTATTCTGTGTGCTAATAGACTTGTGATTCACATTAGCATGGTAAAAGCTCTTAAAAGATCTGTGTTAAAGAAACTTTGCTTGTTTAATTTGCCCCTTCATGACTTATCTGATCATATAACCACCTTTTCCATAATAGCTGGTATTATTTCAAAGGACTACTTATCCACACTTTGGGAAATGATAACGAACTATAAATATTCATCTGCTATGCACAGTCTTTCCAAACAGAACTACTTATTAACCATCCAAAATAAGTTGTTTTATCATTTTTCTCATCTCTCAAAGAGGAGATTCCAAAATGCCCCCTCAACTTAGAGAACTTATGTCATAGGCCATAAATGTTTTGCAAGTATTTTGCTATTAACCTATTGGAGGATAATTGTTTTAATACATTTTGAAACAATCAAATCATAGTAGCACAGATCTTTTGGAACAGAAAGGATGACTATATTTTAAATGGTTTTCCCCTCCACCACTAATTTCAGGAACCTGAAGGCTAGAGAAGCTTAAGAACTTAGTAAATATCACTAAGTGGAACTATGGACTAAAATTTGGACTAAGTCTCTAGTGGACTATGGACTAAAGTGGAACTATGGACTAAAAATTGATATATTGAATAAGAACCTGGTATTCTTTTGCTCACTAATCTATTCCATTGCTTAATAACCCATTTATATTTAAAAAATTCTACTTATGATGACAGTTGAAATTTTTTATGACAGATTTGAAAACAAGAACTAGACGAGTTTTAAATGTATCATCATTGCTAAACATCCTTGAAATTACATTTTGCATAATTGAGAACAAAAGTTGTAAAATAATTTTAAAATAAAATTATAATGCTCAGAAGAAATGCTTTTAAAGCATCCAGTCTTTCAGAAATATAAACTCTATAAAATCAGAAATGTAAAGTGAAAGTCGGATTCATTTTACTCTTATTTGGTTATTTAGTCTCGCATTTAATAAAATGTTTCCTTCCAACATAAAATCACTCTTGGGGATCAAAGTCATTAGCAGAACAAGCAGATCATGTTCATTAGTTAATTCTAATCAGTTCTGTGATTTAATTGTAAGTTGTTTTTCCAAGGCAGAGGCATTTCTGTTTATTAGGTAACATGGACCTTTTAAATTTGTTTTCACCATGGAAACATATCATACCTCCTTCCTAATAACTTTGAAAAAATTAAGAGATATGATGCCATCAATCAACCATATAAAACCAAAATTAAAAGGAAGAGTATATGCTGTCCTCTTTTTATATGAAATTACTTTCTTTTATTATAATTTCACATTATTATTGAAAATGCCAGGTAATAATACTGAATTTGGGAGCTGTCAAAGGAATAAAGTCATCCATTCCTACGTTGTTTAACATAGAGTATTTGTGTGTATATAAAAAATACTTTAATCCCAGAAAACACATCCAACTTTTCAAAATTAAAGAAATAACACATAACATATAATATTTTAACTAGACAATATTAAATGCAAAATCAAAGTCCAGTGGCCTTAGCTCCAACATGTCTGTAACTTTATCACCATGTGGAATATTAATGTTGCAAAGTAAGCATGACAATAAAATATACAGTATGTACAATGAGATATATTTGCTGAAGAAATATGCATTTCAGAATATTGAACCATTAACAAAGCATTGAGAATTCATATATGCAAATTAATTTTTTAAAAATTTTATCTTTCAGATTTTCTACTCTCCCCTGGCCCTCTTCATACCCCCTTCAGTATATGCTGTTCATCTTCAGTTCAATCTTCTTTACCAATTTTGGATCCATACAGAGGTAAAACCTTTTTTTATCTTTGTAAGTTTTATACCTAAACAGCCTGAAGCAATGTCCTGGAAATCCACTAGCAGATGATTTATTGTGTAAGAAAAATCTTTGTCTGCCTTTTTTAAGGAGAAACATCTGTTCATTTTTATTCCTTTTTACTGAATATATATTGCAAAGTTTATAAGAAGCAATGAGGCCAGTTGGTCTCAATTAAATAAAACAAGTTTTTGAACTATTAAGTACCAAAACATTTTAATACTATATTCAATACAATATCTTCCTGTATGACAGTTTATTAAACATTATTTACCAAGAGAGGTTGAAATTCATTTCAATTCAGAGATTTAAACACATATATGTGTGTATATATAAATATGTCTATATTCTGTTGGAGCTCTTTGAAACATCCTTAAAAATTTTATAGAAATTATGAAAATAATTTTTGATTGGAAAACTTGCTCTAACTACAGAGTTTAAATTTTATTTAAAATTGTTCAGTATATTGTTAGTTTCCCCCCCCAAAAAAAAACTGAAGAAATGTAATTTTAGAGTCTTCCGAGGCATTTCAAATTGTCAGACTTGAATGTTTGCAGCTAGGTTATTAAGCAGTTGATTGCTTTATGAACATTTGTACCAATCCTACTGCTAAAATACCAAAAATCACAGACCTAGAAATAGTCTCACCTATACACAAGCACTCTTTTAAACATTTGGTATTTATTGGAAGCCTTTTGAAGTTACTAGAGGAAGCATGTTGACAGGTGTTGCAACTGGTTGAACAACACTACAAATCACAGCTGCATTGTACGTGAAATCTTGATACAACAAAGTGCATTATTCCATTAACCTGCAGTATTTTATGCTACCGATTTACTTGGAATAAAGAGACTGTTACCATGACTTTGGACATATGTAGCATTATTTGAAGATCTATCATGAAATAGTATTGTGTTTTATGATACTTAACACACATCAAACACTCAATACTACAACCATCTGAAAGAGATGTTGCGGCCAATTCTAACTCTAGAGGTCAAAGACCAAATTTGTTTAAATCAGTGAAGGGAAGCTTTCTGATGATTTACATGGAGGGGTTGAGGGAGAATTACATTTTATAGCAGCTCTACTCCAGGTCATGCCATGTGCTGGGTCAGGTATTAGTTTGGATGCAGAACAATAGTGCCTCAGTCACTTTCACATCTTCCTGTGTCCCTCTGAGAGGGCCATGAGCTAGGGTTTGAGTTCCATTTCATGAAGTAAAGCAAGAGTGGAGAAAAACCACTAGTGAGACTTACTCCTCTTAACTAAGAACCTCCAAGGGGCTTCTTTCCACTTCAAAAGCAATGCTTAGAACCTCTCCCTTGTGTTACACTTTATGCTTTTCAAAATACTTTTCTGTGTGTGGGTTCCTACAGTTGAGCTGCCTGGGAGGCAAGAACACATCTTCTGAAATTCATGATTTGGATCTTGGAATTTTAAATTCTATTATTAACCGTGAAAACAGTTCTGGAATATTTCTCAACTGTGCAGTTACATTTGTTTATTATATACAACATAGAATAGTTTGTTTACAAATAGTAGAATAATTCAAGATGGAGAGCCAAGAGGTTGGACATCATGACTGCTTCTGGAGAGAAAGACAAATGGAATAGAGGATGAGAGTGGGAGAAGTATTAAGTATTTTTTTTTAAATCATTTTTACAATTTGCTTGTCTTGCTTTTTTCAATTAAGAGTTAATACACAGATTAGTAAGTAAAAAATAAAAACTGAAAACAACAGCCTTTAGTCTAGAAAAATATTCACTTTATGTTTTCCTGTACTATAAATTGTGTGAACCCCTTTAGGCCACTTGCATACTGTTTAATATCGGGCATCACACTTGGATCTCCATTGACAGAAATGATATGCGAGCTGTAGAGATGACAATGTTAGAAAAAGAGCCCTGTATATTCCTGAATGGAGTTTCATTCTTACAATTGTTTCACTTCCCCTAACATCCACAAAAATCAGTTATTACTCTAAGGGGAATATGATCTTAAGAAGATACTGATTTTTTTGGAAAGCGAGGAAGATTCAGTTCTCTTAAAATCAGTCACATTAGAATAAAAGGAAGGAAAACCCCTAAAATCACGTATTTGAAAGACTATATGTGAGATAAAAAGAAAAAAAAATAGGCCATAAGACACACTAAATCATTTATGGAAATTTTCTGTTTACTTTTGAGTTATTTTGATAAATAAACAAAGTCTAGGCCAGGCACAGCGGCTCATGTCTGTAATCCCAACACTTTGGGAGGCAGAGGTGGGAAGGTCACCAGAGGTCAGGAGTTTGTGACCAGCCTGGCCAACATGGTGAAACCTCATCTCTACTAAAAATACAAAAATTAGTTGGGCATGGTGCACACCTGTAGTTCCAGCTACTTTGGAGGTTGGGGCAGAATAATTGCTTGAACCTGGGAAGCAGAGCTTGCAGTGAGCCAAGATCATGCCACTGCATTCCAGCCTGGGTTACAGAGCAAGACTCCCTCCCCAACCCCTCCAAAAAAAGAAAAGAAAAGAAAAACAAACAACAAAGTCTATTGTCATCTTCCTTTTTAAAAAAGTTGTGAAACATTTGGCTTGAAACTCTACTCTGTTGCTTAATTTTTGTGACTATATTTTTGTCTGTGTATTGTTCATGGATCTAAAGCCTCTGCAGCACATATTCAGTTATACTCTCTTGTGAATTCACTAAAGATAGTAAGAAAACCTTTTTATTTAATACATGTTTTTAACTTAAAATTGTGGAATATTTTTAAGCATTGTTTTAGATATCAGGTGTTATTTGGGTGTTAGCTGAGTTTTCACAGTACAGTAGCAATCGTATAATGATACTATTAACACTATTGTCTTTGTTTTTTTTAAATTTATTATCACATTGTTAATGTATCTATCATGTAATGCTTGAGTAGAGAAATGTAGCAGAGAAATAACTTAATTCTTTGATATTGAAGATTTGAATCAAATGATTCAATGATTTTTTGTTTTTTTTTCTTTGAGACAGCATCTCACTCTGTTGCCAGGCTGTAATGCAGTGGCACCATCTCAGCTCCCTGCAACCTCTGCCTCCCGAGTTCAAGTGATTCTCCTGCCTCAGCCTCCCAAGTAGTTGAGACTACAGGCACGCACCACCGTGCCCAGCTAATTTTTGTATTTTTAGTGGAGATGGGGTTTCACCATGTTGGACAGAATGGTCTTGGTCTCTTGACCTTGTGATCCACCTGCCTTGGCCTCCCAAAGTGCTGGGATTACAGGCATGAGCCTGTACAAAAAAATTAGCTGGGCATAGTGGCAGGTGCCTGTAGTCCAAGCTACTCGGGAGACTGAGGCAGGAGAATGGCGTGAACCCAGGAGACGGAGCTTGCAGTGAGCCGATATCATGCCACTGCACTCCAGCCTGGGTGACAGAGCAAGACTCTGTCTCAAAAAAAAAAAAAAAAAAAAAAAAAAACCCTCAATTTGAAACATGTGATTTTATTTTATTCTCATGAGCAGAAATATTGAATTTTGAAGTTCACTATTTTATGTTTTTTTAAAAAAATATTCTCTAAGAAATCTTTGACTATCACAACCTCTGAAACATAGTCTTCTAGGATTACTTTTGAAAATTTTAGAGTTTTAACTTTTACCGTTACTCTGTGATATTCTTGAATTAATTTTTACATATGGTATGTGGTAGAATCAAGATGCCTGATTTCTATGTACACAACCACTAACTATAGCCCCATTTGTTATGGAGACTTAAAAAAATCCATTAGATATCCTTGGTGACTTGTTGAAAAAAAGTTGACAACTTATGTTTGCATTTATTTTTAGACTCCTACTCACTTTCATTGATGTATTTGTTTCCCTTTATGCCAGTTCCTCAATTTATTGATTATCATAGCTTTAAAGGATGTATTATTCACACATTTGTAAAATAAGTTAATTTTCTCTAGGATTTTTCTCATGCATAATTTTGTGGTCGTCGAATTAAGACAATTTTCTTTCTTTTTTTTTTCCCCCCTATATTTGTGCTTTTTTTTTTCTTGCCTTATTGCTCTGGCAAGGAGCTAGATGGTATAAGATAGAAGTGGCTAAAGTAAAATGTAGGCATCCTCTACTGACTTGTTTTCTTTCTCTCTCTCTCCCCACTTTTCTCCATCTCTTCGTGTGTGTGTGTGTGTGTGTGTGTGTGTGTGTGTGTGTCTACTCTAGGGATTAAATATGCATTCCTATAATATTCTACCTTGAATTAATATAATACTTACCATAAATGTCAGAATTTTATAGTAATATAATTCAGTCTATGCTTTCCCAACCTTTTAGCTAGCATTCTCACATACGCTAATCTTTCATATTCTAAATCCCAATATATGGCCAGGTACAGTGGTTTACACCTGTAATCCCAGCACTTTGGGAGGCCGAGGTGGGCAGATCACCAGGTCAGGAGATCTAGACCATCCTGGCTAACACGATGAAACCCTGTCTCTACAAAAAAATACAAAAAAATTAGCTGGGCGTGGTGACAGGCTCCTGTAGTCCCTTCTACTCAGGAGGCTGAGGCAGGAGAATGGCGTGAACCCAGGACGTGGAGCTTGCAGTGAGCTGAGATCACACCACTGCACTCCAGCCTGGGCAACAGAGCGAGACTCCGTCTAAAAAATAAATAAATAAATAAATAAATAAATAAATAAATAAATCCCAAAATATTGCTTTCATTATTTTAGATTTAATTAGTCAGTTATGTTTAAAGGAATCAAGAAAATAAAATCGTTAATCTTCTTTGTTTGCCCCGATGTTTACCTTCTAATAGTCTTCTTTCTTTCCATTAACCTAAGTTTTCATCCCTTATTATTTCTTTTCATGCTGAATAACTTTTGCATCTTTGGTAATACAGACCTGTAGCAACAAATCTATTCAGTTTTTGTCTATCTTAAGATGTCATGTTTTCCCTAATTTTTGAAAGAGACTTTTCTGAATATGGAATC